AGCAGTGTTGTAGATAGGTTTGGCTCGAGAGCTCAGTAGCCCAGCGCGACTGTTCTTTCACCTGATATAAAGTGACTTGTGGTTTGGATTAATATCTGTGTGGACTTGTGAACCTGAACTGTGGAATTGTGTCCGTGAACATGTCTGTGTCCTGTGTCTTGTGTTTGTCTTGTTATTGTGTCCGTGAACATGTTCTTGTGTGTCCTGTGTCCTGTGTTCTGTGTTCCTGTGTCCGCGAACCATTGTTGTGAGCTTGTTAAGCCAACGTGTTAGCAAAACCCATTCCTCGGAACAAACCACGCCAGACCTTCGAGTCTGTTTCTTATACTAAAGCAACCTAGGAAAAGCCCTCCTCAAACCAACAAAACGCACCATGCTCAACTACGAGACTCTCTCGAACGATTGAAACCTGCACGCACTTGGCTATTTGACCTAATACTTGGTCTACACCCCCGAACTTAAACTATCATTCCTATTAAGGAAAGGTGTCGTTGAGTGGTTTTGGTTAGGGTTTGGTTTTATAGAAGTTAGCTTCGTGAACCTTTCTCAAACGTGATCCATCCGCACGAGGAGTGACTGTCTTTCACCGTCTTGTGGCCTTGACCGCCGCAGAACATGCAGAGGTTGTTCTTCATACACCACTTGCGCTCCTCAGGCTTGAGCTTACCGGAGGAGTCGTGCTTGGCCGCATAGGGTTTTGGAGTCTTCGACAACCCGGAGGCCTGACCCGTGTTGCCGGACGTAGCCGGAGGAGTAGTCGACGAAGGATTGGTCTTGGCTGGAGGGTTAGAATTACCTCAGCCCTTGCGCTTTCCTTTGGACTTCCCACCACCACCACCACCACCACCACCACCACCACCTTGACCTCCGGCCGGAGTGCCGGAGGCGTCTCCAGATGTCTTGCCGGAGGGTGGCGGATTGTTGGAAGCACGCTCCGCAGCTTTCTCGGCATGTCAACGATGGTAGCGCTGGTCGATCTGTGAGGTGTAAGCATTGAGTCCGACAAGGGAAGCCGGAATCTGGTTTTGTGCGATGGTGTCCTTGATGCAACTGGGGAGGCCCCTGTAATATGCCCAGAAGAGGGCAGCCTCGTTGTATCCCATCATAACCGTGTGAGTGTCGAACTCAAGCTGGTAGGTAGCCAGCCAATCACCCAGCTTCATGGAAAGCGTCTCCAATGCGATCTGGGCATCCCCAAAGGCGTCGTGCAGACCGAAATTAGTTGCGAGCTCCTGCACAAATACCCCCCAGTTCCCATCCCAATGTGGAATGGGTGCTGTACCGCTTGCATAGATATTGGGCATAAACCACTGCTGAGTGGTACCCCGAAGATATGACCAGACATAGAAAATCTTATCTTCATTGCCCGGGAAGTCTTGGGGGTGCTCCGCAATGTGCAAATAAATCTGTGACATGAAAGTGGTGAATTTCGTCGGGTCCGAACCATCAAAGGTGTCCGGAGCCTTAGAAGCGGTACGAGTGGAGCGAGGAGGAGTGACAGAGTTCTGCGTGAGGAGAGCTATTGCCTATGCCATTTGTTGCACGGCAAAATTGAGCTGCAGGTTGTTCGGAGCGGGAATGTGAATTGTTGGGGGGACCGGGAGGACCTGGAGGACCTGGAGGCAGCGCCAGACCAAATGGTCCGCCACCACCACCACCACCACCTCCACCGCCACCAGGTCCTGGATTAGGTGCAGGCGCGCCGGAACCCGATGGTTGAAACAGAGGGATCGGAACAGGCAGACCTCCACCTCCTCCACCGCCATTGCCGCCAGGAGAGCCAGAAGGTCCAGGAGGACCGGAAGGGCCCGCAGGTGGGGGCGGAGTAGAGCCGGAAGGAAGATTGGTGGGTGGTTGAGCAGTAGGGTCAGGAGTTTGTCCTCCACTAGCTTTACCTTTACCCTTGTCGATCGGACCCGGAGTAGTTGGAGGAGCAGTGTGCGGTCGCGAGCCAATCGACGTAGGCAATGGCGCGACAAACATAGTCAGCCTGGTATAGACCGGAGCGGTCGTTTCCAATAGGTGGACATCTTCCGGTACCTCCACAATGGTAGCAGTGTGGACCGGATGATGAAACATGCGACAATCTGGGGTAGGAGAAGATATGCCAGTACCAGAGCCACGGTCATACTCATTGAAATCCATCACCTCGGGGTAAACCGAACCGGGGTATTGGGAACCGACTGGAGATTGACTGAACTGCTGGAGGGCAGCTCCTCGGTTTTCTGGATCGAGAAGCGGTCTTGACCACATGGCGGAGCATGCGGCCAAAGAGGACGTGAATCCGGTTGAAAATGCGGTTGGGACCGTTGAACCCGAGGGTCAATAGGTGGTGAGAGCATGGAGGGCTGAAAACCAGAAGTAGATTCTACGGGCTGCTGGCCCAGAGCCTAAATTGGAACAATGGTGCTGAACTGGTGCGATCGACAACGATCTTGGCCTACATCCGGAGTGGGGACGAGGTGAGTGTAAGACATGGGAAGAAGCCAAATTAATTTGAGTTGATAATACTGTTATATCCGTGTCCGGAAGGAAAAGGAAACGGCCAGAGAGCCGGAGAGCCGGAAAGGCCGGAGGGACGGAAGGCTGGACGAAGTGTCGGAGGGCCGGACGAAGGTCCAGATGTAAAGCGATACCACAAGAGTATAAGGGTACACCAATTAACTTGGCTCCGAAGATGGGATAGAGAATAAGGCAGAGGTCGGACAACGGAGCAATGCAGAAGCAAAGCACGTTAATTATCAACCCAGGTTACATCCGAAGTAAGTACTTATTCATACTAAGTACGGAGATAGTCCGGATGTGTTTGGAGAAGAAGTAAAGACAATAGGAATAGGCGAAGACAATAAAGACAATAAGGAATACATGTGGGGCATAAGTCATATGGTCAAAGAAGGGGAAACACTCAGTAAATCTTCATTGCATAAAAACCCCGAGGGTGTGCGTCAACAACCAAGGCCGAACGCAACAGCGAGTGAGACGGACGCGAGCTGGAGTTCAGATGACACGTCTGGAAGGAAGGGAAATTGGATCCAAGGATCCAGACGGAGGACAGAGAGAATCCGGACGGAGCCGGAGAGGTCCAGACGGAGCCGGATGGTGTATGAGTTGCATGGTCGTAACAGAAGTCCAAAACTCGTCGCATCTCCTCCTCAACCAAAACCAATTCTTCCCTCCATTGATCTGCCTGTGCTCGTGCCTTCATCCATTCCACTTGTATATCTACCATGCCGTTCAGCCATCAACCTTAGAGGCCAAATATTCACTCACCTAGATGCAACGATCCATCCGCCGTCACATCAGACCCGCACTGGGGCGTTGAATACCATATCCAAGATAACAATATTTTCCCCTCCCCCATCTCCAAGTCAAAGAGAACTGTCAACTCCTCAAGCTCACCAAAGATGTCCAATTTGTCCTTACCGTCGGCCGATAAGCCCACCAGTAATCTTGCCCTTTTGTCTTCCCGCTCTTGCTCATTCATAAGGGTGCGTTCGGATCATCCTGACAACCAGGATCAGGATCAGGATGCAGGATCGGGGGCTCGGTCCGGTGGCTTATCACACCGTGTGACACCACGTAATATGATGTAAATCCTTGTCTCACGCTCGTTCTGCTGCTTTGAAGACGTAGTCCTGACACGTCCTGACGTGTTGTAACACATTCATGACGTGACATTCCCCATGAAAAACATGCATTCTGATTCAACAGTGACAATTGAATGAATACCATGACAAGGAATATGGATGGACCCCTATAGCCACCATGATGAGGTGTAATAGTCTTATTTCCTGCCAGAGTTCAGCCGAGGACTGCAATAATTCACCTTCATTTGAACACTGTTCATCCACTGTGTCCGATGTAGTAGGGTCACATTATAGATGCTAGGGGCACAGAATCTTGTGAAATAGATGCACTATCTGGTGTTATCTGTCGTTATCAATTGACATCGGGTAACGTCAGGGAAGTAGTTGCCGGGTTACCGATCCTGCATCCTGATCCTGATCCTGGTTGTCAGGATGATCTGAACGCACCCTAAGCCGCTCATTCATTCCCCTGATATCTTCCTTCTGGAGAACCTGCAACCCTTGTTCCCAGTCCCCTGGTCCTCGAAGAGCTAGCAGCACTGCTCGTGCCACTTGATAGTGTGCCACCACTTCCTGGATCCTAGCCTCAATTCCGTCCAACAGTGAGTGACTCTTAGTGTACATGCCCTGGCCCGAGATATGCTGGCACTTGAACTTGTGTGCAAAGGTGCGCGTTCATAGCCCCCTCTGCAAATGTCGCAGGGCATCTGCTTGAGCCTTGCACAGCCGCTCCTCTTGCACAACCAATCCGGGAGCACACACTGCCTCGCAATCCACAGCAGGTAGCGTTGATGGGAGGAAAATCTTGATAGTTTCGGGCTTGGCAGTCTCGTTGGCTGGTAGGGGCGGATACTGCCGTGCGATCCATTGAGGCAATGATCAATCCAGGCATGTATTGGGCCTGGATGTTGTGCAGCTTACAGATATTTCCAAGCAGGAGTGTCCGCTGCCACTGCAATGTTGTAGCTTGAATAGTTGTCAGATTGTGTTGTTTCGCTTCCAATAAAATCGCTTCTCTGTCATCAATCAAAGTCAGTCCCAACTCTCAGACAGCGAAGACAACGAGTCACTGCAACGGCCTCTGGGTTGGCTAAACGACAAGCAATCCGGCGAGAACTCCAACCAGGAGAAACCCGACAGCTGCTAATAACTGGTGCATTCCCTGAGCAGCAAGACCAACTGAATGGACTCCTCATTAGGAGGCCGTATATTATGGGTAGGGGTGAGAGGCGGAACCCAGAACAAGTCAAATAGGGTATGATATCCACTCAGGTATAATACCTGTCTGTGCAGGCGAAGCTATCAACTGCCAGCAGATTTCATTGAGGTAATTGATATCATTACTCACATGTGCTGCACTCACAGCGAAGTGAAAACTACCTAGTACTATTCCACCCCATGCCATTCATCATGTCCGAATTGGTGTAGGGGTCAACATTGCCGCTTCTCAGACTTATGTAATCTCACGCGGCAGCCCGGGGTTCGATTCCCCGATTCGGAATCTGTTTTTCTTTCAACCACGTCCAAATTTTGCCCAGATTGTCTGTCGGACAATCTGAAGCATCAGGCTAAACGATATCCTAAAACCTAATGCAAGAACTTTGGTCAATGAGTAGGCTGTCACCTCAGATAATGCAGATCCAAAAAGGATGACAGGCGGAGCAAAAACTCTTTGCAGTTCTGGTCGGGTTGTTGCTTGGCAGAGTTACAGCCATCGAAATCCATAGCTGTTGGTTGAAAGGCAACAGTGCTGTTGACCAACTGAATTAAGTTTTGACCATTGAAGAAATCATAGCACACATGAGGAAGCTTCATCAGCATGCAGCAAAATGAAAACAAAGAATTAGAAGAGGTTGATCTTGCAGACCACAGTCCCGGTGAGTGAGTTCAAATGAAGATAGACGTGCAAAATGGCTTAAACACTCAGGTTGTGGACGTGGCAAGAGGCAAGAGAAGGTGATCTGTGATATACAATTAAAACAACAATTCTCAAATGTTGTAAGTACAAGAGTCCATAGAGAAAAGCCACCAGTGCTAAGGTCATGCCAACATCAGCAGTCCAGGAGCTACTCAAAGATGTGATAGGACTTGCTGCCCTGCGACAGCATCAAGGATGGGTGCCCAATCCACCTCGAGGTCAATCTCCAGCATAGTCCGAGATGCCCGAAGTGGTTCAACTTGTTACGTTGGCGGTAAGCATGAAAGAAGTAAAGGTCTGTGTGGTATATGAGCTAAGTAGGTCTGATAATGTGTAGCGAGGTTGAAACACAATGATGGGGTATTTTCTCCGTGAGAGGAATATTCAAGGTGGAGAGTGAACCCAGTTGACTTAGAGAGAGGTGAAATATGTAGTGTTGAGGTGGTGTGGATGTAGAGTAGATCTGAGGGTAAAGGAGAGATAATTGAGTGAGTAGAGGTAAAATAGCCACGTAGGAGCAAGTAGAAGAAGGAAACAGAATGAGAGTACACCATAGCAAAATATGTACCTGGATGCTTGAACCGGCTCAGGAAGTGAAATCGTCCTGCGAGCCAGGTCGTACTTCCAGAATTCCAGACCGGGTTGCCCACTGGCTGAATCTGTTTGCTCGTGGGCATTTCCCCCTGAGTAGATTTCCCCGGCATCGTTCTCATTATCCCAATCGCTCCGCACAAAATCTATTTTGGTTCAGCATCAGCAACTTATCGCGCAGAATATTTCACCGTTGAGACAACACTGGGGATAGAAAGGCGCGCCTCGCGAATTGACTTGGCCGCTGTTCAATTCTTCGCCTAGTTTTTTTGGCACGTACATTCGAGAGCACACAAACACTCCAAGTCAAAAACTTGCCATCGTGCACTGGATATAAAAGTGAGTGAGATTGCACGGTTGCCAAGACCCTCGCCAGAGACCGATTTCATTCCTCCGGTTGGCCTCCATTGTCTAAATCCACGGTTTGATTTCCAAAACGTTGTTCCAACTCGACGGAGCTCACCTAACTGCGGCCCGATCGGCCTCTTTTCATATGTCTGCTTGGACGCAAAAGCTCAGCTCAAAAAACTAATGTCGGGACGGGACTGGCGAGACTTGGACCTAATCAAAGCCCCCTCTTTGGACAACTTGGAAATCGACATCAAGGGACGCCCCAGATTATGAATTATCAACTGTGATGAGGCAGACGCGCGGCTGGGAGAACGCTCTCCACGCACTCAAAGTCCGTGCACTCGGAACGTGGTTTGCTGCAGACATGAGGAGGTCTGCCCCGTGTTTGCGGTGGATTTTAATTAAAACTGGGGAACGGAGCAAGTGAGCGCCGGACCGGAGTATGCCCAAGCTGGCCCAGCCGAGAAGTGATTCAGCTAGACAGAATGTATTAAATGTGGATATCGATTTGAGGATCAAGTAGCGGAGGTAGATCTGGGCACCAAGTGGCAGACAGAGGACAGCGAGACGCCGGAAGACCACACGCGAGAATCCGGCCGAGCGAGGACGGTGTCTGTATCGTTCTCCTGATTATTTTAAACCGACATTCGCGCCGGAGGTTCCCTCAGGCCTTATAATTCCCAAGAAAGGAGTGCTTGGACGTAGATTTGGAAGGAGCGCTTCAGAGCTATCAAAAAATAAATCATGCTCGGCGGAAGCCTGCGCGACGCAAGAGCAAAAATGATTCCGTTCAGTGCTTCAAGATATGGCAACAGAGCTCCAGATCATATGGTTTGTAAGTTTGATGCATTGCATTGAAGGTGGACGTAGCCCAGCCCAGGGACGTGGGGCATCGAGCCCTTGCTCCGGAAATACAAAGCGAGAAACATAGCATATATAGTGGGCGGGAACAGATCAGAATTTGGGTTGGGATATCGAGCGAGTCGTACCGTTCGGTGTAATTTTCAGCACCGGAGGAACGTCGACGTCGAAGCGATGCAGAATCTAACTCAGGTGTTAACGGCGAGCCCATTCACCAAAGCAAACGCTCCCGCGCGGGATAACAACTTCCTCTGAGCCCAACGACACGTCAAGAACTTTGTAGCCTCTTTGAAAACAGGCAACAGAGGACGAGAAAGATCGCAGCACGTAAGTATTCATTCACGCAGAGGTCAATACTGCACCGACAGGATACAAGCACATCAACGCACACTACTGCTGCTGCTGCTGTTGCGGCGGGCGCGGAACCTGCTGTGGCGGGCCCCTCCTCCGCCCGCCCCGCGCCTTCCACCACCGCCATACCCGCCCCACCCGCCCACATACGCGCCGGGCCCCAACAGCCCCACACCCCCGGGCTCCCCAAACGTCGCGACGTTCTTCTCCCGCTCCTCCTCACGGCGATTATACCCGAACCCGCCCCTCCCTCTCCCCCGCCCACCTCCCCACCGCGCGGCCCGCCCCCGCCCTGCTGCTGCTGGCCCCTAGGCGCAAACGGCGGGGGCGACGACAGCGAGTCGAAGAACGACTTTTTGGGATTATACGCTCCCGAGTCCTTCTCCTCCTTCTCCTTCTCCTTGCCGTTCCCGCTCCCGCCCGCGTCCTCCTCATCACTCGGGTTCGTGCGGTCGCTCCCCGCGCCGGCGCTGTCGGCGCGACTGCGGGCCGCGAGAGCGGCCTTGTCGAACTTTGCGTTCATGGTCGCAAAGTCAAAGTCCACCGCGGGGACCGCGACGCCGCCTGCGGGACCGACATGGACACCGCCGTTGTCCGCGCCATTGCGCTTGGTGCGCTGGCGGCGGTTGGCGCCTGCCGCAGCAGCGTTAGAGACGCGGAGGTCGCCGAGGGCACGCTCGACGGTCTCGAGGGACGCAGCGGCGGTGTGGATCGCGTTTTGGTGTTGCTGCTGGGCCTGGGGACCGGTTGGCGCGCCGTTGGGACGATGACGCGGAGCCGGGGCACGGGCCTGCTGCTGCACCTGTTGTTGTTGTTGTTGTTGTTGTTGTTGTTGCTGCTGCTGCTGCTGGACCTGCGGCGGCTGCTGGCGGGTCGGGAGCTGCTGCGCCGTCTGCTGGGCATATGACGGTGGCACGACGGGGACAGCGGGTGGCGGAGCCTGCGCAGACGCTTGGAACACAGCAGGGTCGTCATGCACGCTGCGGCGGGTCGGGGCCGGTTCATCGACGGACAGATCCTTCACCTCGGACGCGCGAAAGATAATATATTGGTACGGTTCTTGCACTGGAGGGATATACTCGGCGACAGGCCTGCACCGAGTGAACAAAAACAGTCAAACGCGCGTAATAAGACACTGACCGACGAGACTCGGTGCCCATAGAAAACACTGCACGCGGCTGAGGACACGAGGACAGAAAAGGCGCATAAAGGCGTACCATTTGAAAGCTGAATTGTGGACGCTGCAGGGTCGATTCCTGCGAGAATGCCTCTGTAGCGGACATCTGAATGAGAAACGAGAGAAATTGGTTTTCTGGACACGGTCAGCTGGCGCAAAGCAGGCAGCAGTGGGCATACCCGATGAAACTGAGAGCCATAGCGAGAAGAGAGAGAGAGAAATTCAAACTCCGACTGCACCTGATCCAAACAAATCTTTGCTCCTACGTGGTTTGCGCGGTCTCCGTATTCCTCTCAACCATGAATCTCTTTCGGTTATTGGGTCCGTCCATTTCACTCTAGCCGTCGCATTTCTCACCTCTCGCAGGCGACCTGTCCCATTTGGCTTCAATTCTCATTTTAGTGCATAAAATGCAAACGACGCGCTCATGTCGAGGTCAGCTTTCGACGTCTGCTGCTAGCGCAATAGCTGAATCACCACCGCAGGTATATCCTTCAAAACACAGGCCCTTTACGCCGGCGTTTTCGTGGCGCGCTACCTGGACCTGCTGTTCCGCTGGGTCTCCCTCTACAACTTCATCATGAAGCTATTCTTCATTGCGAGCAGCTGCTACATCCTCTACATCATGCGCTACCGCTTCCGGTCAGTCCCCCGGTTCCCTCCTTCTTCAAGTTTAACACAGATGCAGGCCAACACACGACCCCTCCATTGACACGTTCCGCATCGAATACCTGCTGGGCCCCTGCGTCATCCTCAGCCTCGTCTTCAACTACCACTTCAACCTCACCGAGATCCTCTGGTCCTTCTCGATCTTCCTTGAGTCCGTCGCCATCCTGCCCCAGCTCTTCATGCTCCAGCGGACCGGTGAGGCAGAGACGATCACCACCCATTACCTCGCTGCCCTTGGCGCGTACCGCGCGTTGTACATCCCCAACTGGATATACCGGTGCGTCCCCGTGGTCGCCACGCGCTGTGGGCACCATTCGCCACGCCCCGCACTGACACGTCGCCTCACAGATACTTCTCGGACAACGTCGTCGACCCCATCGCCGTCACCGCAGGTATCGTCCAGACAGGGCTGTACATCGATTTCTTCTACGTATACTTTACAAAGTGCGTGCCTCCTCCTCATCGCCTATCCTTTTAACCAACGTCTCTGAATCCAGAGTGCTCCAAGGGCAGAAGTTCGAGCTCCCCGCATGAGCAACGGTCTGCGCAGTAATGTATTTATGGGACGACGCTCCACGGCGTG